TTTCCCCAGAACCTTCTAGTATTACTGGCATATGTAAATGTAGCAGAAAGAAAAAAATAAATAAAAAGTAAGGCACTAGTTAAAGTAATGACTAACCATTGCACGACTACTGCGACACATACCCATAAAGAGTTATATGCAGCAGTGGCAGCAATAATACAAAAAAGTAACAATAATAACAAATTGAAACCAAAATAAAACTACAACAAAAAAAGCGGCAACAGCCATTAATTCCCAAAGTAAGAAAATAAAAAAGAGAGCTCAGCAGCAAAACAAAATGTATATACGTGTTGTAATGTAATGTAAGCATAAATTTAACTTTGTTTACAACTCTACACATACACTCCTGCCATACAGTTGTAAATTGTTGTTAAAGAGAAACAGCGTGAGTCAGAAGAGCCTGCTTAACAAACTATGGTTGGCAAACATAAATAACATTTCTTTTTACAATCATGTTTGGTATGGAACTTTTTCCATTTTTTGTCTGTTTTGTAATTTTTTATTTTTCTACTCTAGGTATTTTTTGTTTTTAGCCCAAGTATTGAGAAATTAACAAAACAAAACGTTGATATGAAATTGGCAGCAGCTCTCAATGTTACTGAAAACATTTATAAATTTTTCAGTTACTTTTGCATATTTGTACATCTACACAAAGGCATGCAATATATTTCCGAAAAAAAAGATACATATAAACAGAAAAAACACGTCAATACAACACTAATACAAATAGGAGGTTAGAATAATCAGTATCTTTTTACTTACTTCTTCTCCGTATATACATATTTCCGTTCTAGATCAGTTCTAGTTTCAGTTCTAGTTCAGTTCTAGTTCAGTTCTAGTTCAGTTCTAGTTCAGTTCTAGTTCAGTTCTAGTTCAGTTCTAGTTCAGTTCTAGTTCAGTTTCTAGTTCAGTTCTAGTTCAGTTCTAGTTCAGTTCTAGTTCAGTTCTAGTTCAGTCTAGTTCAGTTCTAGTCAGTTCTAGTTCAGTTCTAGTTCAGTTCTAGTTCAGTTCTAGTTCAGTTCTAGTTCAGTTCTAGTTCAGTTCTAGTTCAGTTCTAGTTCAGTTCTAGTTCAGTTCTAGTTCAGTTCTAGTTCAGTTCTAGTTCAGTTCTAGTTCAGTTCTAGTTCAGTTCTAGTTCAGTTCTAGTTCAGTTCTAGTTCAGTTCTAGTTCAGTTCTAGTTCAGTTCTAGTTCAGTTCTAGTTCAGTTCTAGTTCAGTTTCTAGTTCAGTTCTAGTTCAGTTCTAGTTCAGTTCTAGTTCAGTTCTAGTTCAGTTCTAGTTCAGTTCTAGTTCAGTTCTAGTTCAGTTCTAGTTCAGTTCTAGTTCAGTTCTAGTTCAGTTCTAGTTCAGTTCTAGTTCAGTTTCTAGTTTAGTTCTAGTTCAGTTCTAGTTCAGTTCTAGTTCAGTTCTAGTTCAGTTCTAGTGTTCAGTTCTAGTTCAGTTCTAGTTCAGTTCTAGTTCAGTTCTAGTTCAGTTAGTTCAGTTCTAGTTCAGTTCTAGTTCATTCTAGTTCAGTTTCTAGTTCAGTTCTAGTTCAGTTCTAGTTCAGTTCTAGTTCAGTTCTAGTTCAGTTCTAGTTCAGTTCTAGTTCAGTTCTAGTTCTTCTAGTTCAGTTCTAGTTCAGTTCTAGTTCAGTTCTAGTTCAGTTCTAGTTCAGTTCTAGTTCAGTTTTTCTTTCTAGTTCAGTTCTAGTTCAGTTTCTAGTTCAGTTCGAGTTCAGTTCTAGTTCAGTTCTAGTTCAGTTCTAGTTCAGTTCTAGTTCAGTTCTAGTTCAGTTCTAGTTCAGTTCTAGTTCAGTTCTAGTTTAGTTCTAGTTTTCAGTTCTAGTTCAGTTCTAGTTCAGTTCTAGTTCAGTTCTAGTTCAGTTCTAGTTCAGTTCTAGTTCAGTTCTAGTTCAGTTCTAGTTCAGTTCTAGTTCAGTTCTAGTTCAGTTCTAGTTCAGTTCTAGTTCAGTTCTAGTTCAGTTCTAGTTCAGTTCTAGTTCAGTTCTAGTTCAGTTCTAGTTCAGTTCTAGTTCAGTTCTAGTCGTCTAGTTCGTTCTAGTTCAGTCTGTTCAGTTCTAGTTCAGTTCTAGTTTAGTTCTAGTTCAGTTCTAGTTCAGTTCTAGTTCAGTTCTAGTTCAGTTCTAGTTCAGTTCTACTTCAGTTCTAGTTCAGTTCTAGTTCAGTTCTAGTTCAGTTCTAGTTCAGTTTCTAGTTCGTTCTAGTTCAGTTCTAGTTCAGTTCTAGTTCAGTTCTAGTTCAGTTCTAGTTCAGTTCTAGTTCAGTTCTAGTTCAGTTCTAGTTCAGTTCTAGTCAGTTCTAGTTCAGTTCTAGTTCAGTTCTAGTTCAGTTTCTAGTTCAGTTCTAGTTCAGTTCTAGTTCAGTTCTAGTTCAGTTCTAGTTCAGTTCTAGTTCAGTTCTAGTTCAGTTCTAGTTCATTCTAGTTCAGTTCTAGTTCAGTTCTAGTTCAGTTCTAGTTCAGTTCTAGTTCAGTTCTAGTTTTCAGTTCTAGTTCAGTTCTAGTTCAGTTCTATTCAGTTCTAGTTCAGTTCTAGTTCAGTTCTAGTTCAGTTCTAGTTCAGTTCTAGTTCATTCTAGTTCAGTTCTAGTTCAGTTCTAGTTCAGTTTTCAGTTTAGTTCAGTTCTAGTTCAGTTCTAGTTCAGTTCTAGTTCAGTTTCTAGTTCAGTTCTAGTTCAGTTCTAGTTCAGTTCTAGTTCAGTTCTAGTTCAGTTCTAGTTCAGTTCTAGTTCAGTCTAGTTCAGTTCTAGTTCAGTTCTAGTTCAGTTCTAGTTCAGTTCTAGTTCAGTTCTAGTTCTTAGTTCAGTTCTAGTTCAGTTCTAGTTCAGTTCTAGTTCAGTTCTAGTTCAGTTCTAGTTCAGTTCTAGTTCAGTTCTAGTTCAGTTCTAGTTCAGTTCTAGTTTCAGTTCTAGTTCAGTTTAGTTCAGTTCTAGTTCAGTTTCTAGTTCAGTTCTAGTTCAGTTCTAGTTCAGTTCTAGTTCAGTTCTAGTTCAGTTCTAGTTCAGTTCTAGTTCAGTTCTAGTTCAGTTCTAGTTCAGTTCTAGTTCAGTTCTAGTTCAGTTCTAGTTCAGTTCTAGTTCAGTTCTAGTTCAGTTCTAGTTCAGTTCTAGTTCATTCTAGTTCAGTTCTAGTTCAGTTCTAGTTTCAGTTCTAGTTCTAGTTCAGTTCTAGTTCAGTTCTAGTTTCAGTTCTAGTTCAGTTTCTAGTTCAGTTCTAGTTCAGTTCTAGTTCAGTTCTAGTTTCTAGTTCAGTTCTAGTTCAGTTCTAGTTCAGTTCTAGTTCAGTTATGTTCAGTTCTAGTTCATTCTAGTTCAGTTCTAGTTCAGTTCTAGTTCAGTTCTAGTTCAGTTTCTAGTTCAGTTCTAGTTCAGTTCTAGTTCAGTTCTATTCATTCTAGTTCAGTTCTAGTTCAGTTCTAGTTCAGTTCTAGTTCAGTTCTAGTTCAGTTCTAGTTCAGTTCTAGTTCAGTTCTAGTTCAGTTCTAGTTCAGTTCTAGTTCAGTTCTAGTTTCAGTTCTAGTTCAGTTCTAGTTCAGTTCTAGTTCAGTTCTTCAGTTCTAGTTCAGTTCTAGTTCAGTTCTAGTTCAGTTCTAGTTCGTTCTAGTTCAGTTCTAGTTCAGTTCTAGTTCAGTTCTAGTTCAGTTCTAGTTCAGTTCTAGTTCAGTTCTAGTTCAGTTCTAGTTCAGTTCTATTTCAGTTCTAGTTCAGTTCTAGTTCAGTTCTAGTTCAGTTTGTAGTTCAGTTCTAGTTCAGTTCTAGTTCAGTTCTAGTTCAGTTTCTAGTTCAGTTCTAGTTCAGTTCTAGTTCAGTTCTAGTTCAGTTCTAGTTCATTCTAGTTCAGTTCTAGTTCGTTCTAGTTCAGTTCTAGTTCAGTTCTAGTTCAGTTCTAGTTCAGTTCTAGTTCAGTTCTAGTTCAGTTCTAGTTCAGTTCTAGTTCAGTTCTAGTTCAGTCTAGTTCAGTTTCTAGTTTCAGTTCGTTCAGCAGTTCTAGTTCAGTTTCTAGTTCAGTTCTAGTTCAGTTCTAGTTCAGTTCTAGTTCAGTTCTAGTTCGTTCTAGTTCAGTTCTAGTTCATTCTAGTTCAGTTCTAGTTCATTTCTAGTTCAGTTTCTAGTTCAGTTCTAGTTCAGTTCAAGTTCTGTTCTAGTTCAGTTCTAGTTCGGTTATTTACTACTCCTTTTTCTTATTTGAGAATTTTAAATAATTTTTCTACTAAACTCCGTGCCACAAACTACCAACAATTTATGCTTCATGTTAGCGCTTTTGCAGTTAATTTGTTGTTGTTTGTGTAGTAATGTTTATTCATGTTTTGTTTCGCTATTAAATTATTTATTTTTTAAATAATCTACTTTTTTTATTGTTACACTCATCTGTTACGTGTGGTTTTTATTATTTTTTTGTGCAACAATAATTTTTTTATGATTGTTATTTTGTTTGTAATTTAAGTTATTTTTTAATGCCACATATAAAAACATGGAAATAAACAATCTGATATACACTTATATGGAGGCATGTGGCTAATGAATGAATTTTTTTATGTAAGAAAAAAAAAGGTTGGGAAAAATATAATTATATTAATAAATTTAATGCTATTTTGGCTATAAGCCTTTAATCACATTAAGGTAATTGAAGAAAAGTTTGTGTTAAGAAAAACTAGTTAGAATGAAGGGCAGTTGTCATAAATAGACAAAATTTGTAATTGTAAACAACGAAGCGTATGAGTAATATTTATTGTTAAACATTATAATGTAATACTCAAAAACTTTAAAACAGATTTAATTAATAACAAATATTGTTATTTAATTTGTATTAAACAATTATTTTTAATAGTGAACATACTAGGTCATATGATTAATATTAATTTTCATTAAATTACATTTTCTCACATTTCCTTTAGTATGTCATAAATTTTTCAAATATTTCTTAATGTCCTTCTTATATTCTTTACTTTAATTAATTTTTAAACTTATTTTTGTTCTGCTTCTTACTTTTCTCAATTTCAGAAATCAATTGTTTTCAAAGATTCGCCGAGCAGCCAAAGTATACTGAAGTGAATCCAGGTCAGGACGCTTTATTAACGTGTAAAGTAATCGATAAACGTGGCACATGTTCATGGCAAAAGGATAATAAGGTAGGTACACAATAAAGTTGTTGTTCTCTTCCTTCAAAGAAAATATATAAAAAGAAATTTATAAAACAAAATAAATTAAATATTGTCATATTTAAACGATTTCCAATGAAATTTGAAACAATAGCTTAAAAACATACAATCAAGCAAATATTATATTTTTTTAAATAACAATATAACCATAAGCAAACGAAACCAGGTGGTTTTCAAAGGAAATTTAATGAAATATTAATAGAAAAAATGCAGGTCATTGATTGTGGGTTAAACTTAATAACTTTATAGAATAAATACTGTTGAGTATGTTTTTCATTTCCTTTGCGTTATTCATATATTTGAGGTTAATATATTTCCGAGAATTTTTCGTTGACAAATAACTGGGACAGTAAGTTAGAAAAAAAATTAATTAATTGAGGTTAATTGTAAAAGGAAAATATTAAAAATTTTATTTTTAAAATTATGGCAAAATATTCTTTACACTTTAATATGCAAAATTTTTATTGAAATTTTTTATCAAAAATAGATTTTTGTTAAAAAAAAAAAAAAAAAAAACTGTAATGATTTTGCCGACACATAATAAATAGGGAAAAGTGATTGTCATTGTAAAGAACGGAGCGTATGAGTAATATTAGTTATTTGTTATTATCTAGTTCATTTCTACTGCAGTAAATATTTACAGATATTTGTACTTCTAAAATTTAAATATTAGACTCTCTTTATACTCTGTATAATAAGCCAATTATTCATAATTAAATTTAATATTAATATTCCTTATTTATACAGAAAGTAAACAGTTTCGTTCACAATTAATTTACAATTTAAAGAAACTTTTATTGAAGAAAACTTAATCAATATTTTACAACAAATAAAATACGAAATGTCGAAAATTTCCTAGAAAATGTTTTCTATTAAAAGTTAAAGTAATTAAATATTTACAACAAAATATTAAGTTTAACAACTAAACAATTCAAGTTGTAACTATTTGCAGACAAACTAACTATTTAATGATGATTAACATTACATTGTTGATAAAATAACCTGCCATTAGAACCAGAGCGCCAACACAATATTAACAATTATCCAATTTATTACAATTGTTAGTGTTGTTGTTAAACTGTTTTTAAGTTTTTAACTTAATAATTGAACATACAACTATAAATACGTATAACAAAATCTCTATAAAGGTACTAGCAAATGTAGTCTTTGCTCATCATACAATTCTAATTAAATATTAATATAAAATACTTCCAAGAATTTCCGGTGGAGTAATAATTTTGCTAAAGCATACACTACCACACCGACACACACACACACAACCTTTCATGCATTCACTCCGTTACATTTGCAATTACATTCAAAACTAAATATAGCTATAGTATGTTAAACATTTACTTATACAACTACAAAAATCTCTTTTAATAACATTTATTACATAAATAGATATTTCCGTTTCCTGTGAACCTTGTTTTTGTTCTTATGCATACATTTATTTATAAATACATTTGTGCTTTTTACTTGACTGTAGTTGTATGTAACTTTTACTTGTTTTAACAAAACTTACAAACTTATTTACTTAAATTGTAAACCACAAGTTTTACAAGAATTTTTTATTCAGTGTGTAGGTTAGGACTGGGAGGAGCGAGAAAAAGGATATAGTTTAATATAAACACTTAAAAACTTTGAGTTTATTTTGTCAATTTATTTGCAGCTCTGACTACATATTATGACAAATGTTGTTCTAAAAACTGTTAGACTTTGAAGAGGAAAATGAAAGCAATTTAATATCTTTTTTTAACCACAAAACTACAAACAGACTATTATAATATATCAATAGTTTGACAGAATGTTAGAAAGAAAATTTAAAGAACATAATTTTTTTATATATTCACAATAATAAAGTCTACTTAATATTAAATGTGATTTTTAAGCACTGACTAGAACTGAACTAGAACTGAACTAGAACTGAACTAGAACTGAACTAGAACTGCACTAGAACTGAACTAGAACTGAACTAGAACTGAACTAGAACTGAACTAGAACTGAACTAGAACTGAACTAGACTAGAACTGAACTAGAACTGAACTAGAACTGAACTAGAACTGAACTAGAACTGAACTAGAACTGAACTAGAACTGAACTAGAACTGAACTAGAACTGAACTAGAACTGAACTAGAACTGAACTAGAACTGAACTAGAACTGAACTAGAACTGAACTAGAACTGAACTAGAACTGAACTAGAACTGAACTAGAACTGAACTAGAACTGAACTAGAACTGAACTAGAACTGAACTAGAACTGAACTAGAACTGAACTAGAACTGAACTAGAACTGAACTAGAACTGAACTAGAACTGAACTAGAACTGAACTAGAACTGAACTAGAACTGAACTAGAACTGAACTAGAACTGAACTAGAACTGAACTAGAACTGAACTAGAACTGAACTAGAACTGAACTAGAACTGAACTAGAACTGAACTAGAACTGAACTAGAACTTAACTAGAACTGAACTAGAACTGAACTAGAACTGAACTAGAACTGAACTAGAACTGAACTAGAACTGAACTAGAACTTAACTAGAACTGAACTAGAACTGAACTAGAACTGAACTAGAACTGAACTAGAACTGAACTAGAACTGAACTAGAACTGAACTAGAACTGAACTAGAACTGAACTAGAACTGAACTAGAACTGAACTAGAACTGAACTAGAACTGAACTAGAACTGAACTAGAACTGAACTAGACTGAACTAGAAACTGAACTAGAACTGAACTAGAACTGAACTACATAGAGCTGAATTAGAATTGAAGTAAAATTAACATTTTGTAATTTTTAATTTTGGAAAAAAAAACTAAATTTTTATAAAATTTTTCTCAACATCAGAAGTTTATTTATATCTTTTTCTAATCAAATTCGAATAAAGTTTGCCATTAGAACGTATACAATTTTCAAAACAATATTTTTTCAAAATAATTTCAAACTTTTTTCATGTTTGAAAAAAGCATTAAATTATAATTTCCAACAATCCTGAACCATAATTTATGGTAGTACTCTAAATGCAAAAGTAAACACTTGTATATATGCAACAGTATATAACAATCTTTATATACTTAAGTTTATATACATACATATGTATATTACTATACTTATATACTTTAAAATGCACATACATACATACACATAAATACTTTGCAACATTGACATATTTAAGTGACATTTTGATTGTTTTGCTGTGGTCACCACTAGTAATTTATTAAAATGTCATGTTGTGGTTTTATATTTTTCTATGTATTTGCTTTTTATTTTGTATTTTTTATAATATATTAGCATTTACTAGATTAAAAAAAGAAAGCGATTTTTTTTTGTATTAAAATAAGGTTTTGTAAATCTAAACAGACATTTCAACGGGAAAAAGTTTTTTTGTACTCGTTACAAAAAAAAAACATGAAAATATTACAAACAAGTTTTGATTATAATTTATATATTTTATTTAAAAATTATTTATGTGCTAAATATAACCCAACATTAAACAATTGTAAAATAATGCTAAAATAATGAGAAAAATTTTAAACATTTATATTAAATGTTAGAAGAAAATAAATATCTATTGGAGTGCATTAAAAAAAAATATATATTCTAAAACTTATATATATATTCTAAAACTATAAGCACCTTTAGCATTTTCGATTTATTTCGCATATTATAAATATTAATCATTCGCCTCCAAGCACAAAATTGGTACTTTAGGATATGGTAGAATTTATGTGAATAATTTTAAGATTAGCATATATGCCTAAATCAGGGAGTTGGAAGGAAAACTTTAAGCGACTTAGTTAGTTAGTAGTTAGTTAGTTAGTTAGTTAGTTAGTTGTATGGTTAGTTTGTTAGTTAGTTAGTTAGTTAGTTAGTTAGTTAGTTAGTTAGTTAGTTAGTTAGTTAGTTAGTTAGTTATGTTCTGTTCGTAGTTAGTTAGTTAGATTAGTTAGTTAGTTAGTTAGTTAGTTAGTTCGTTCGTTCGTTCGTCGTTCGTTCGTTCGTTCGTTCGTTCGTTCGTTCGTTCGTTCGTTCGTTCGTTCGTTCTTTCGTTGTTCGTTCGTTAGTTCGTTTTCGTTAGTTCGTTCGTTCGTTCGTTCTTCGTTCGTTCGTTCGTTTCGTTCGTTCGTTCGTTCGTTCGTTCTTCGTTGTTCGTTCGTTTCGTTCGTTCGTTCGTTCGTTCGTTCGTTCGTTCGTTCGTTCGTTCGTTTTCGTTCGTTCGTTCGTTCGTTCGTTCGTTCGTTTCGTTCGTTCGTTCGTTCGTTCGTTCGTTCGTTCGTTCGTTCTTCGTTCGTTCGTTCGTTTCGTTTGTTCGTTCGTTCGTTTGTTCGTTCGTTTCTTTCTTCGTTCGTTTTCGTTCGTTCGTTCGTTCGTTCTTTCGCGTTCGTTCGTTTCGTTCGTTCGTTCGTTCGTTCGTTCGTTCGTTCGTTCGTTGTTCGTTTGTTCGTTCTTCGTTCGTTTCGTTCGTTCTTTCGTTCGTTCGTTCGTTCGTTCGATTCGTTAGTTCGTTCGTTCGGTCGTTCGCGTTTCGTTCGTTCGTTCGTTGTTCGATTCGTTCGTTCGTTCGTTTCGTTCTCCCCCCCTTTTCGCTTTCCCTTCCTTCCTCCATCTTCTTTTGTCCAGGTGTCCTTTGCTCTTTCGTTGTTATTTCGTTTTTACTTCTTTCATTTGTTTCTTTCTTTCCTCCCCTTTTCTCTGCCCCACTGTCATGTTTCAACTAATAAATGTATATCTCCTACCATATTCTGCTATCCAAAGACACAAAAATTTGCTACTGTTTTTTGGCCTCAAGAATAAATATACGTATTTAAAATTTGCATATTATTTGTGCTAACACAGAAAATCATAATATATGCAGCATGCGTAGCCTAGGCAGGCTATTATGATAGGGGATGTACAAACTCATATACTCACCATACATACATTCACATCTACTTATGGGTATAACATGAGTATGTGAAATACTCCTA